CAAGTATACAGTTAAAACTGTCAACCATATAGTTAAAACCGCCAAGTGTACAGTTAAAAACCACTATAAAATATAGTGACACATTATTTAACTGCTTGAGAAGTGTAACCACATTTATACATATCTTAGTATTTGTTAAATGGAAAATACTTATAAAAACAGATTACACCGTGTTAAAAAAAAGTGATAAAGTAAATCTACGTTATTAAGATTATTTGTTATTAAACAGTTCTGATAAAGAGTTTTTCTACACTTTGAGGCTTAACAGCATTTATCGTTGATGTGTGTTGTAAATGAGTATTAATGATAACAATTATACATGAGTGTTTCTCACCTTTTAATACTCACACGGCTTTATGCTCTTGTTTCTGTGTAGTACTGAAGAACTTCTTTTCAGGGTAAACGTTTAATTTTCAAATTAATCAGACAATTAACGTACTAAAAACAACCATAAACACAAGGTAAGGATGGTATATTAGAATATATATGTTAACGATGACTATATCACTTCAAGGTTTTTTTTTTCATTTTGTTACTTCTATACATTATACTTATGCTTTTTAACGAATTATTTCCTGTTAATAGAAAACTGCTTTACAAGTAAAAAATATCTCATAAAGTAATGAAGCCAGTTCTATAAAAAAATTTTTAGAAATACATAAAGTCATGAATTAATATACAATAAAGAAAAGCTAAACCTTCAATAATTAAAACACTTTACCATCTGGATACCCTCGCTGCTAACGATATTTTCATCCATAAACCTATTAATATTTCACGGATTTCTTTCAGATTAGGAGTTGTAATATAATTTAAATTATAATACTAAGATAATTTCAAATATTTAAACATTAATAATAATAAACAGAGCCGTAGCCAGAATTTCGGTTTTGGGTGGGATATGCCTAGAAAAATACTCCCAGCCCCCCAAAAATAAAATAAAAAACGTTGCCACAAAATGAGCTCTGATTTTTTTAACAATTTCGTTTGGGAATCCACATTACAAAGATACGATAATTTTTCAATATAAAAACAATATACAAACATTTTAATTGCACATACATACATATAGTATACTATGGAGAAAAAAAAATAGTCATTCCTCTCTCTGTCTCTTTTTCCTTTTTGTTTCTTTTGTCGGAACCGAAGAAATTTCATGGGATTTAATCTCTCACTCGTTTACTACCCTGATAATAAGTATCAATAACAAATATAATATTCTGTAAAATTACTTTAAACATTATACCCAACCTGTAAAAGGGAACTTATCTATAATTCTAACAAACTCATCCCCTAGAAAAGCGTGGATACAAAAAATCATGTTATAATCCTACCAAACTGATTCCCTAAAAAAACATGAGTAAAATAAATCACTGTATAATCTGCTCAAATTCATTTATCTATCCCGGCAATGTAGCTTTAATTAGTCTAAGATAAATAGCTTATGTCACATGTTATCCTTTAGCTATGGAGTCGGCAATTGGAAAAATGCATAAATTTGCATTGATTTAGTTAATAACAAAATATATACATAATAGAGAAACCAGTTCAATAAATTGTGGAAAAATATAATATGATTAAAGTATTCAGGGTAATATACATATACAGCTCACTGTGAATAGCATGGATAAACAGACTATGTGACGTCGAGGTCACGCCTCCTAAGCTGAAGAGCGGTCAACCGGAAGTAATAAATAAATAAATCCAAACCCTAAAAACTGAACGAAAAGTATAAGGTACTTGTAAGTATATAAATTATCAAAGTGATAAACTGACTTAATAAATAATGAAACATCAACAGTGGTAAATGCACAACTAATATCATTAATTAATTAAAATGATAACTAGCGAATGTTAATACTACCAGTCACTCAACATTAATAAATTAAAATGATAACTAGCGAATGTTAATACTACCAGTCACTCAACAGACTAGCATTCTTTATTATTTCTTTTCTTTTAAATTAAAAAATAACAATAGTTGGTCAAAACTTTAAGGTATCGTCCTGGTATTGAAAGTATCATTAATTACCTTTATGCTTATGGTGAAATAATTTGTTCAGGGTTAATTCTGGTTTATAAAGAAGTTTAAAAGCTCCCAGGAAAACCTAGAATATTCGACAAATGAATATTTATATTATATAAATATGATACGATTCAAATTCTGCTAAATACAAATCAGCAACTTGGGGGCTTAAGCGGTTACCACTTATTGGTATTCACTATGTTTTGTAAGATTTTGGCCAAACCGTAGAAAATTATTAATAAAAATACCTACTCCATGTAAAAATTTGTTCAGTGTGAAACAATGATACTTTTTGATTAATATTATATTATTCACGTTCAATAACACAAAGTATTCATTTACCATATTGGTTGATAAATGTGGATATTGTTAATATAAGACTTTCTGCTTTAATTATATCAGTAACATAATGGCATGAGGTTTTTAGATCAAAAGTATCATTTGTTTTCAACTAAAATCCTTAATTTTATTTACCCATTCAATGACTGATGACAATGAACGGTATTTTTTCTTCGATCGCTAGAACTGATAAATCCTTAGTCGTTTTTTTTTCTATTTCCGTGCCAACCGAACGTGTATTTATGTGGCGATTAATTTGTGAATGTCAAGTAATTTTGTTTGCTTAAGGTTAAGCACAAAACTACACAAGGAGCTATCTGTGCTCTGCCCACCACGTGCATCGAAACCCGCTGTGCCACTGGAGGACAGTAAAATAATTTAGATGTTAGATTAAATTTATCAGAGTAGACACCAAAGTTTTGTGAATCCTAAATATGCTATAGTTTTTAAGACCTTAAAGTGCTAATATATTTCGTCATCAAAATGTTTTAGTCTCTAAATGACAACCCACTCATTTGCAATATAATTTATTTTTAAAACTTAAGAACTATCGTTAGCTTTATCAGCAGAAATAATGTTAAAAATATCTAATTACTCAATAAATTATGTAAGCTTCGTAACTTGTTCATAATTGTTAGCAATAATATTTTAAATTCTTTTATGTTTTTATGGATTATGCCCTTAAATATTTTTTTCCCATTCCTTAAATTAATTTAAATTTAATTATTTCTTAACCGATTATACAAAACATTTGAGCTATGTATTTATAACATTTTGTACTACTTCAATTAGTTTAAGTACATTTCTAAAACTTGAAAACTTTTACTCATCAAAAGTATTTAAGAGATTTTATAATGAAAATACGAAGAGTGAAGTGTCAGCTCTTTAAAAACAAAAACATCATGCTTTCGTGATATCTTAACTGATAGTAAAAAAGCTTAACAATAAAAGGAAAGCTTCCATTTACAGAATCCTGTTGTGCAATGTCGTTTTTTTTATCCTGATCGCAAAGCTCGAAACAATTAACATAACAAGTTTGTCGGGATATCATTAGCTTCTAGGCATGCAAACTTCCGTGATTCAAAAGCGCTACGTTTTGTGCACGTATATATATAGTTTCAATCCATTCAGCGAGCATAATTTTTAGAGCTATTTTTGTCGCTAATCATGTTAGTGTTTCCTTAATTTAAACGCTATACCGAGTTTCATTTGCCTTATTTCGTGGCTATTTAATATCTTAAAAGTTAATATTTTAAAGGATTCTTTTCATTTTTATCTTACATGCATATGATTAACAATAATGACTTTACCTTGTGTTTTGTTATCATTGTAATCTGTGAACTAAACATAATTGTTATATTGAACACGAGCAAAGGTTCGCTGATAAACATACCTTGCTAGACTCATCGAATATAATTTTTTAAAGATAGTCGTGCCATCTTAATTATCATCTTGATATTTGAATATAGACAACTATGTAAATGTTATTGTGTAAGAAAATATAACTTACGGTTTTGATTTGATATATATATATATATATTTTATACTCAAAACAGCAGAAAATGGCCTCGCTCCATGAATTAATTGTTGGAATCATGTTTTGTTTGTTGGTGTGTACAGCAGGTAAGTTGTAAGCTTCAATAACTACGACATCATAAATTACTTAATTTAGAAAAATAGTATTGGAAATTAAATTATAAGTAGTAGTATTGTTTGTTTTTAATTAAGCACAAAGCTATACAATGGACTATCTGTGGTCTGCCCACCACGGGTATCGAAACCCGGATTCTAGCGTTGTAAGTCCGTAGACATACCACTGTGCCACTGGGGGGCAGTAGTATTGTAAGGTATATATACATAACAGTGATTGGACAGATAGATTGTCTACAGATAAATCAGCGTTTGGTTATATTTAAATTTTATGAGAATTAAAAGTAGTATTTTCGTACGCGTGGATTTAAGTTTAGATTCTTGATTCAATTACATTTACTCATTTACACAAATCAGACCAAAATATGATGGTTCAGTAATTTATTTTTTCAAAGTTCAAAGCCCTGGTTTATTTACGTTTTACTACGTTTTGAAGATATACTTTTTTGATTGATTTCTATGTCATAAAAGTGAGGAAAGTCATTAAACTGATTTTAATTTGATGGGTAATTAACATACGTCCCCTTAACTTGCATTAAAAAATAATCTTGTTAATCTTGTAGGCTAAAAGGTTAATCAATTCTAAGTTAAAAGCCATATCTTAGGAGTTCCTAAGTTTCAACACTATTATTAATTAGAAAAATAATATCAATTAATAAAATATTAAAATTGTTCATTTTTAGGTTTACGATTTAAGAGGGAAGATTGCTTGATGGAGCGATCTGAAAGGGTAGTACGATATTTCAATAATATCATGAACAGTATTAGCTCCAATATACCAGAGACAAAATGTTGTTTCGATATGCCTCGTGATCTGGACCAGTTCCAATGCCAAGAATGTGTAGTAGAGAACATGCAGACACTAACCCTTACAGAGAAACAACCTATAGAATGCAGTGGAACAAACAATACTATTTCTTTTAAGATGAAACTTAAAGAACCAAAGATCACGTGTGACTGCGATGCTCGGTTACTATTTCAACGTAGGAAAGGAGTGATTAATTTTCAGTTTTCAGATGTAGAAGCTAGTGGTCAGCTCGTTGTAGACCTAAAAAATGCTGCAAGTCCTGCGGTGAAAACAACTATGTCCATATCTTCTATCAACAGACCTCGCATCACTGTCCGAGAGTGTGCAATCTGTCGTTTTCGGCAACCTTTGCTGAATATGTTTAGTTCTGGAAGAGGCAGAAGGATGGTGTCACAACAACTGAAGACTATTCTGGAAGAAGTAGTGGAGGAGAAAGCTCAAGATTTCAAAACACTCTTGCTGTGAGCCACTAAAACTAAAAGATAAGAAAGATTGAAGTTATAAGATTTTTACTGTAGACAAAAGATTACTTGGTTAGTTGTACTTGCTGCAAGAATAATTTAGTATTTAATTTTTCCTCTGGAATTTTTTAATACCATTTGAATTAATATTGCAGCTATTAGAAACATTTTTGATAGCTCACAAAAACAAGACTCAAAATAAGGATAGAAATTTATAATACTTTAATAAGTTTTACAATTGATCAAAAATCACTATTATGCAGTTTCTTAAGGAAAAATATACAACTGTTTTATTTCTGTCGAGTCACCTTACAATACCTAATTTTTTCTGCTTATTTAAATAAATATGTTTATTTATTTCTGTTTTTTTCGAATATATATTTCTTGTCGTGAATATCAAAATGTAACCACTTATGATTTTAAAACCATATTTGAACTTACTTTTATTACCAACATTTAGAGTCAAACATAAATAACCAAAATCAAATGCAGATCTTCAGGAGGTTCTTCTTCTTTTAAAGTCAGGTTTTCATCCAGTTAAAATGGCTGAAGCAGATAAACCTAATACTGTATTTAGTTATGGCCAAGGTC